ACATTCCCTTGTAGCCTGGCTGAATTCTCTCGGCATATTTTGTAGTGCATTATACTTTATCGCTAAAATTGACCTATTAAGCATAAAATATGGAGAATGCATGGAGCTTCTGTCAGTTTTATGTTGTTTATTTGGACTTCCGTTTTCTCTTTCCTAAGACCTTACTTCTTGTTGTCTTTTTCATTCCTAAACTAAGTAATAAGCCCAGAGAGTCATGCTGGTGGTATCCATGGTATCCACTCTAGTGCATTAAGATTATAGCATTAAAAAGCAAAATCTCAGCTTCACCTCAACTCTAGACACAAAATTATGAACTCTTCATAGACAGGACCCAAATATTAATTAATTAACCCTGTGTCCTTAGTGCTTAACCCTGGCAAATAAAAGGTCTTTAGTAGATGTTTATTGTTTGAATGAGCAATTAGTTTCAAATATTTCTTGAGAATCAGCCTTTTAATAGGTACTATTCCTAACAAAATTTGCTTAGATTTTGTACCCAGGGTGCAAAACTTAGAACTTTTCATTTTCTTTCTGGACACTAGACAAGGACAGAGAATAATCACTGTGTTGTTGCTAGTGCTACATTTTACTGAGCCCAAGAAACTTCTACACATGCGACTGCAGTAGCAGCAGCTGCTTCCCATCTGGCATTATGAAAAGGTATACACTGGGGACTTCTAGGTGCTGGGTGCTGTGCTATCCAAATCGATCCAGATCAAAAAACGGGGTCATTGTCACCATCTGCCAAGGCAGTTGTATTCACAACAGTGAGTCTCTCTTCACCCCCTCCCACCAATTATATGCACATTCAACTGAAGAGTTGAAGCAAACTGTCAGCAAAACAACTGAAAGTTTATTTGTTTATTCCAGCCAGGCATCCCTCCAACCGCAGGCTTCTCAAAGCATATTCTTCTAAGACTTTGTTAAAGTGCACATTTAGATCTACTAGGTCTGGGGTGCAGCCTGAGAGTGCATTTCTAACAAAATCCTTTAGTTAGGTCAGGCCTTGATACTTAAAGTGTCATCCATGGACCAATAGATTTGGCATCACCTGGGAGCTTGTTAGAAATGTGGACTTTTAGCTGCCATCCAGACCAGTTGAATCAGAACCTTCATTTTAACAGGAGTCTCACATTAACATGTGACAAACATTGCTCTAACCATTTAGTTAGCTGACAGAATCAATCACAGATAGGGACCCAGTTGGGATAGGGGATGGAAAGTAAGGCCAGGAGTGCTCCCTGTTCCCTTTTTCATTTCAAACTCTACGCCTGACACTTAGCACAAGATACAAATGATGCCTCTTTGTTCAGTCATTTGGTGGCATGATGAATCTATTCTTACCCATCCTGATTGCTGTTGTCTTTAAGCATGGGGCCCACCTGACCAACCATTTCCCTAAGAACTTCCTTGTAGAGGAAAAGGTTTCCCCAGAAGAGACAACCTCATGACCAGCCACATCAGAATGATTCACAGGTTCAATCCAGCACTGGGAGATCAGAGCTTCTATGTGCTCATCTATAGAATGGGGATGATGATACTGCCCATTCTGGTTTCCCTTATAGCCTTATTTGTGAGGAAATTGAAAACAGGAGCAGGAACTTTGAAAACATAAGGTTCATGAGGTGAAAACTGCTTTAGTGAGAAACCTTCATGTGTGTTTCAGTGACAGAGATATGGGTTCAAAATTTAGCCTTACCATCTCATAACTTTGTGATTCCTAGCAATTATTCCATCTAGTTGAACCTCAATTTAAAAAAAAAATGGTCATAACTTCAACCATATAATGTGTGGGGAGGATCAAGAATGTTAGTGATATATGTGGAATTTAATAAATGGTGGCCAAGAGCTACAGTTAAGAGACTTAGCTGGGAAATAAGCCTTCAAAGATGTCTTTTCCCCCAAGGAAGCCTGTTAAATGGAGACAAAATGAGAAGGTTATTTTAAAGCCGGTTAAGTTTTGGGTAAACACCCATCCAGTTCAAGAGACTGATATCTTGAAGTTTGTTTTTTAAGTATGTCTAGAAGAAAAAAAATCTCTAAATTTCAAACAAGATTTAACATTAAAAAAATATATATTTCTGAGTACCAGCCACTGAAAGATTTTGAGGATTTGCCATGATTATTCTGTCCCATTCACATGCTCCTATCTGAGGTGACAAATAGACTTTGTGGTGTGCACGAGAACCTGGCACATGTAATGGTGTCCACACAAGTGGACACTCCAGGCAGAATCATATAAAGCCATGAAAGAAGATGCTCTGAGGGCCGTGGGAATGGATGGTACCCTCATTATCAGAATAAGAGAACAGCCAGTCCTCTTTACTGGAGACGTTGGAAAGGCAGCTGCTGGGTTGTGACTGCTTCACTCTCAGCAATTAAGCATTGGAGACATAGAGGGACTATTGTCTTTTTTTTTTTTTTTTTTTTTTTAAATCCTCACCATTCTCTCTCTATCTTCCCAACCTCTAGCTCACCCTTTTATTTTGGAAATGCCCTTTTAAGACCCTCCATTTTTCTCAGGCCTGTTTTCAAGCAGGCTAAGCTTTTGGGAAGTTATTCTTTGGGGCTGAGATTGCCCCTTCCTTTCCCTAGAGTCCACAGCACTTTCCCTGGAGTGTGATTTTACAGACTGCCTCAGGCAGCGAGCCTTGTGACCTGCTTTTCCACATGGATCTCTTTGTTGGGGGAGGCACTGAATGCTCAATGACTTTGAGAAGGAGAGAAAAGAATCACCTCCCAGATAGGGTATTTCAGTGAAAACCTTCTTAGCAAGACGGCAGGGTGGGGAGAGAGGAAGTGAGCAGACAGAGAGAGCTGCAGGGAGCCACTCAGCAGTCTGGCCAGCAGTTCTGAGCAAAGAGCAGTATCTGTAGGAGGGAATGGAGATTTCTCAGGAATATTTTTTTGCCTTAATGACTTAAGATCTAATGCATCACCAAGCCACGTTTGATTATGGGACAACAGAATCCATTCCAGGTGGGAATCAAGCAGTTCAGTGGGATTGTGCTTCAAGTCCTTTTAAATAGATTCCATGATGGGCTCTTCTGAATCTGTTAAGAGTATGACCTGTGGGTGGGAGCTCTCACCTCCAGCACTTTAAACTAGTAGTCTTTGGGGGCAATGTGTGAATAAAAGGTAAAAAGAGATAAAGCTCTGGCTAAAGGGAGATTCATGAACTAGCAGGTTGAAGGCAGGTTGAAAGATATCACTTTACATGGAAAAATGAGAATTCATACCCCATTTGAATCAAATGTATGATATGTCAAGATCATTGTATTGTCATGAGCAACTAATAAAAAAAGATAGATATCACTTTTTATAAAATCAGATCACATGGAAAGAGCATTTCCTAGGGGTCAATGAAAGAATTTCAATCCCAACTCTGTCCTCTACTAGTTGTAGAACCTCGTTAGGCAAGTAATTTTATTTCTTAGAGATCCAGGAAGAAGAATACCTGCTCTAAATTTATTGTAGCTGCTATAAATCGATAAACTTCACTTAATTTTTTGAGGGTCAAATGAGACAATTGGAGAAGAGAACCTTGAATACTTAAAAGTTGTTCCATCCAATATGGTAGCCAGTAGCCACGTGTGCCTGTTTACATTTAAACTAATTAAGATGCAGTAAAAAGTAACACAGCCACAATCCAATTACTCATTAGACACATGTGACTATTGGCTATACCGTATTGCACAAATATATATATATATATGTGTGTGTGTGTGTGTGTGTGTGTAACATTTGCACACTATCATTGAAAGTTCTATTGGACAACTCTGTGGCAAAGTGCTAGCTAGGCTATGATATTAAGAATATAAAAAAGTGGCATATTGTAGGGGTGACATCCTGTCATAATTAAGAATTGTTGGAGAAAAACAAAATTCACTCAAGTTAGCTGAATTAAAATAAGGGATTTATTTGACTAATGTAGGAAAAACAAATGGATCCCAAAGGCAGGAAGCACAGCTAAGCTTCAAGAGGATTTAGAACCACTTCCTAGATTATTTGAGACTAAAGAAACCACTTTTCCTTTCTCATTGTCTGTCTCCTTTTTCTCTTCTCCCTAAGTCCTTTTGATCTTTCATCTGTTTCTCTGAGTGTTAATAACTATTTCTCTCACCACCTCCTCCCCCTCTTCCTTCCTTCTCTTCTCTGTTTTCTTCCTCTTTGGTTTTACAGTTCATCTTTCTCAACTTCACTACACATGGTCCAAATAGGGCTCAACCAGACCCAGTTTTCATTACCTTTCATGAATCATATCCAACAAAAGTTGGAATTTGGAATTTGTAATTTGATTCCAAATTCCCTGGAGAGAAATTCTGATTAGCCAGCTAGGTGAGATAGCCACTCCTGCTCTGATCATCTCTTCCTGGAAAAGGAGGAGTAATGATATACTTACTCAGGAGGGGCAATGGAGGAAGCTCTGAAAAGGAGACTATAAAGGTCATTGGCCCACACACTTGCCCTTGCTACCTTAGAGAGGCCCATTGAGCTGTGATCACCCAGAGAAGAGCCAGCAGAGATTTGACAAAGGAGGAGAAGGAAGAAAGTGATGCCTTTTCTTCTATAGTCATTTGTATGGTTCACTGCACCAGTGCAGATTTACAGGTTTAACTTCCTGTCTATATACCTAAATAGAAGCCCCACAGCCAGGAAATGGTGCCTAAGCCTCTGTTCATTCATCGGTTCTTCCTTCCTTCCCTCCTTCTCTCCCCCTTCCTTCCTCCTTTCTTTCTTTCTCTCTTTCCAGGGATTGAACCCAGGGATGCTTAATCAATGAGCCACATACCCAGCCCTTTTTATTTCTAATTTTGAGACAGGGTCTCACTTAGTTGCTTAGGGCCTTGCTAAGTTGCTGAGGCTGGCTTTGAACTCGTGATCCTCCTGCCTCAGCCTCCTGAGTCACTGGAATTACGGATGTGTACCAACATGCCCTGCTCTGTCATTTCTTAAATGCAAACAGACCACTCACAAATTCCCTTCTCTTCTGCCTTTAGGAAGGAACATGAAGTTCCCTTGGATATCACTGAAGAAGAAGATGGGAGGGGCCATTTAAGAGAGATTATAAGTTGGAGGCTGCAAGGCTGGGGCCAGAAGGCTGGCAGTGGAAAACGCTGTTGAGCTGTGATCTCTCACTGAAAAGTTCCAAGTGCCTTTTTGCTTCCTGTAAAAGAAAGGAAGAGAAGGAGGAAACCATGTCTATAGCCCTGAAGCAGGTGTTCAACAAGGACAAGACCTTTCGGCCCAAGAGAAAATTTGAACCCGGCACACAGAGGTTTGAGCTGCACAAGCGGGCTCAGGCGTCCCTCAACTCAGGCGTGGACCTGAAGGCAGCCGTGCAGCTGCCTAGTGGGGAAGACCAGAATGACTGGGTGGCAGTGCATGTGGTGGACTTCTTCAATCGTATCAACCTCATCTATGGCACCATCTGTGAATTCTGTACCGAGCAGACCTGCCCTGTGATGTCAGGGGGCCCCAAATATGAGTATCGGTGGCAGGATGACCTTAAGTATAAGAAACCAACTGCATTGCCAGCTCCCCAGTACATGAACCTTCTTATGGATTGGATCGAGGTCCAGATCAATAATGAGGATATATTTCCAACATGTGTGGGTAAGTCCACGACCAGCTTCTCAGGCTTTATTTGTTTATTTTTTTGATATTATCCCCACACAAGCTCAAAAAGTGTGCAGAAGGGGATTCTCCCTAGCTGCCTGTGATGCTGGACAATACCCATGGCAGTATTTCCCCCAATTCTATTTTTATCTTTTCTTTTTTTCTGATTGGAGATTGAACCCAGGGGCACTGAGTCATATCCCCAGCCCTTTTTAGCTTTGGTTTTGAGATAGGGTCTCACTAAGTTTCATAGGGCCTCACTAAATTGCTGAAGATGGCCTTGAACTTGTGATCCTTCTGCCTCAGCCTCTCAAGTCACTGGGATTACGGCACTCACCATGATGCCCAGCTTCTCAAATTCTATCAGTCATATACCTGTATTTTTTTTTTCTCCATACCTAAGAACCTTATTGAAATTTTAAAAAATCATTTATGAAGCACTGACGATTATTTTGTGGCCCCCAGAACATTGATCCAATGTTAGATTTGATCTTGTTGGTTTTCTTAGGACTAGACTCCACACTTACCCAGTTATTTTGGTAAGATTTTTGTTTCTTGATTGATTGACTATTTAAGGTTATATTGACTCTGGTGCATTACTGGCAATATTTATCTTTTAGGATTAATAAGCTCCAGTGTGGGAATCCATGAATTTGTTTGGGGAGCAAACAAATAGGGGTTCACATTTTATCCTGGCATTCTGCTCCTTCTCCTATCATAACTTATTAATTCCAAACTGCACTGTTAACTCCAACCCTTTCATAGCTGCTGGACCTGCCAGAACTCTTGAAATGCAAATGCTTTGGTTTGTTCTGTACTATAAGCCATGAAACTTAAGAGGAAGGACCAAACCTTCTCTGTCTCTTGTATTTCTTTCTGCTGTGGAACATTGGTGGGCTAAATTTAAAATTCATTGTTTTATTCCTGGGGCTCAACAGGAATGAACAATACTCTACTTCCATTATCATATTTGCAGTGCCTAGTACAGTGTCCTGAAGCCTGTGGGGGCTCTCAGGAAATATTTCTGGAATGATTGAATAAATATTGTGCTATTAGAAAGCCTTCTTGAAAAGCTCTGAGATGACTGAGGCATTTTTTAAAAAAGTATTTGAAGCATACTGTTGAAATCACTTTTAGATGGGGGGTGTCCCCATGAGGCATGTGGAAAGTTGAGAAGGGCCACATGGAAATAATTAAGTTTATACCAAACAAAAAAATGTGTATAAATTGATTGGTGTCGTATGGTACATCTTGAAATATTCAGCACACAAACCAATTTGTCAGAATCCTGTTGCTGTGGCTTTTCCAATTCCCTCTTTTTTTTTTTTAATTTTTTATTGTTGGCTGTTCAAAACATTACATAGTTCTTGATATATCATATTTCACAATTTGATTCAAGTGGGTTATGAGCTCCCATTTTTACCCCATATACAGATTGCAGAATCACATCAGTTACACATCCATTGATTTACATATTGCCATACTAGTGTCTGTTGTATTCTGCTGCCTTTCCTATCCTCTACTATCCCCCCTCCCCTCCCCTCCCCTCCCCTCTTCTCTCTCTGCCCCCTCTACTGACATTCGTTTGTCCCCCTTATATTATTTTTCCCCCCTTTTTTTTTTAACCTACCTTCTGTGCCTCTATGAACACTACCATATAGTCCACCTCCTTCCTGCTTACGAGAGACAAGAGATAAAGAGGGAATTGGACCTCAGAGTTATACTCTGAGGTCCAATTCCCTCTTTATCTCTTGTCTCTTGTAAGCAGGAAGGAGGTGGACTGTATGGTAGTGTTCATAGAGGCACAGAAGGTAGGTTAAAAAAAAAAAAAAAAAAAAAAAACTCCTCTGGGCACCTGGGAGGGATGGGAATTCCTCAGGCTGTTGTCTTTTTGCACTTTCATTGACTGCCAGAGGCTACTTACAGTGCTGGGAGGAATTTTCCTCTTCCAGAAAACTTAGAAACAATGGGCAAAGCTCTGAGCAGAACATATGATAAAAATAAAGATAGATAAATGTGCACAAAGATACCTCCTCTTTGGTCCTTCCCCTGTGCCTGCTCCTGGATACTTTGAACTCTGGGCACTCCTTCTCCCTGGCAGCTGTGGTTACCAGATAGCATTGCTGAACAGGAATTGCAATGAAGAGCCATGTGTGTTACTTGAGAGCAAAGCAGCTTCTGGCTGTCTGCTTGGAAAACAGGGCATCATAGGAGGTTTTAGACTTCGGAGGAAATGGGTGGATGCCTCCATGTCCCCCAGAGTCACTGACTTTGCTTTCTTTTTCTAGACATTTCCTTATTCAGTATGCTCAGGGAACAAGTTGACTCCTCTGTTTCAGTTCTATCCAGTCCGTGGTCCATAGCACACTGGTATTCTGAGAGCTTTCACTATGATTCGCCCACCCCACCCCCATGGAAAAATACATCTGGGAAATACTGAGTGAAATTGATTTCTTTACCACAGGACTTTTAATATGCCACTGTGCATTATAAATTTCCAAGAAGAGAATACTTTAGTATGTGGTGTTTCCTAATTTGACCCAGTATCTTTATTTTAAAAAACAGAAGAAAGATTGTCATCACCTTTTCGGAAACATTAAGCTATATAAGTTAGAGTCATCAAACTTTTATTATGTCAGAATTACTTGGGCCTTCTGTTCAAAATACAAATTCTTGATCCTTCCCTTTAACAACTAAATCAGAATCTCTTAGGTGAGACCTAAAAACCTGTATTTAAAAAAACAAAACAGAGATTTGATAAATTGTGTATAAAGGTGTATTAAGAATTGCAATGCAAAAAAATTAGGAATGTAATGCACTCTATTGTGATGTAAGTAAGAAATAATAAAAAATAAATAAATTAATTTAAAAAAAGGAAAAAAGAAAAAACAAAACACAGCAAAAAACACTTGGATTGTGCAGAGGGGAGGGAGGGAAGGGATGGGGTAGTGGGGATGGGAAGGTCAGTAGAATGAGACAGACATTATTATGCCATATGCATGTATGATCATATTAGTGGTGTGACTCAGCACCTTGTACAGCCAGAGGAATGAGAAGTTGTGCTCCATTTGTATACAATGTGTCAAAATGCATTTATTGTCATGTGTAATTAATTAGAACAACAACAACAAAAGACTATAGTCACTGTGTTGTACAAGTGATCTCAAGAACTTAATCCTTTTAGCTAACTGAAATTTTGTGTCCCTTGACAAACATCTCCCCAGCTACCCCTTCCCCAACCCCTGGTAGCACCCATTCTACTCTACTCTTACAAATTAAACTTTTTTGGATTTCATATATAAATAAGATCATATGTTATTTGTCTTTCTGAGCCTGACTTTTTTTTTTTTACTTAACATAATCTCTAGGTTCATCCATAAATGACAGGATTTTCTTCCTTTCAAAGACTGAATAGTATTCCATTGTGTATATATGCTACATTTTTTTTTATCCATTCATCTACTGGATATATACAACTTTATGCATACACCACGGTTTTCATTATCCACTCATATACCTGTTGGCCATTTGCAAGTCTTGTTTTGAGAAGAGTCTATTCAGACAAATCCTTTGTGTATTTTTATTTATTATTGTTATTTATTTATTTATTTATTTATTTGGTACTGGGGATTGAATCCAGGGTACTTAACCACTGAGCCACATCCCCAGCCCTTTTTTTAAAAATTTGAGACAGGGTCTCTGCTAAGTTGTTTAGGGACTTGCTAAGTTGCTGAGGTTGGTTTTGGACTTGTGATCCTCATCCTGTGCCCTTCTTAGTTGCTGGGACTACCGGCTCCTTTGGGTATTTTTAATTGAGTTCTTTCTTTCTTTTTCTTTTTTTTGGTGGTGCTGGGGATTGAACCCAGGGCCTTGTGCATGAAAGGCAAGCACTCTACCAACTGAGCTATATCCCCAGCCCTTTAATTGGGTTATTTCTGATGACCTGTTTGAGTTCCTTATGAACCTTCAGTTTTCATAAACACACACCACTCTTCCATTAATTGTAACCACCCAGAATTCTTGTTCTTCCCTCGGAAGCATTCAGTTTCCTATTCTGGTTTTTGCCCCATGCTCTCTCTATAACCATCCACTTCTCTGTCTAGACAATCCTTGTGCATCCTTGGAGGCCCAGCTGAGAGCTATGTCCTCCATTGAGGCTTTCACCCATTAGAATGTGAACCCCTTAAAATTATAGGAAACGTCCTATGCATTTGAATATCCCAGCACAAAGTCCAGTCCTCTTACCTTATAAATGATTGGATGGATGGACAGGTGGATGCAAAATAATCTTTTCAAGTCCCAATATGTATATGGCACTGATGGACAAAGCAAGTGTAACACACGTCTCTGAATCTCTTTGTCAACATTCCTGGTTACTTTCTGCACCTTGTTTCTACCTTGTTTTGTTTTCTGTTTAGCTTTTCCAAGGTGAAATGTTAGGGGTCGATTAAAAAGGACCAGCATCCCCCATCACTATGAAGATATTCATCAGTATCCCACGTTATCTCTGTGATTTGCTCTCAGATGTTGTTAGTGTCTTTTGGACCTACTTTTAGGAGCCACTTTCTCTTCTACACTCCATTTCAGCCTCTTCTTCCTCCCCCTGATTCTAGCCTACTTTTATTCCTTTTGATCTTTGCGCTGTCATGACTCATTATCATGGAAACCATCAAGATGTCTGTCCAGATAACGTTAAAAAGAATTCTAGGCAAACAACAGATCTCTGGGAGGGCAGCTTTCAATCCTGGGCATCCTTCTGTGTTCCTGCCTGGGGACTGGGAGGGGGGTCAAACTTCACTTCCTTGCCATCCAAGGAAATGGAACCGGAAAATACCAACAGCTGTGAAGGCTTCACCCTTAGTTAGGAATTAAAGGATATAAACGGCTGTTGGTCTCTGCCATTGAGACACTAAGAAAGGCTTTCATCTGTTGCTAGATTCAAGTTTAACAAGGAGACCCATGCCGGTCCAGAAGTCCAGCTTTCCCCGATGGGAGAA